GAACTGCAAGAGGCCACCCTGATAGAGAGGGTGGAAGGTAGGGAGGGTCCGACACGGCCTTACCTCTGACCATTAGGCTCTGCCAGTCCTGTGGGAGAGGCAGGAAGGACGACAGCAGAGTCAGAGGGAGACAGTGGAGTCAAAGTGTAGGGAAAGAAGAACGATGCCACATCATGTTAGAGAAAACAACAGAGGAGAAGGCTTCAGTCTAAGATGATGGCAGGGTTCAACTGYGGTAGATTGTAACGCATTTTGACTCGCTGGGCTCAACCTCACGAGTCCGTCCAAACAAACCTGACCAGAACCTGCGAGGTGGGTGGGGAAAGAGAGGAAACAGGCTGAAGCAAGAGAGACAGGATGAGGGAGGCYTTGGATAAAATGGATGGATGTGATGGTGTCGATGATGTCATCAAGCAAGCGTCCATCCTCGATGTCAGCGATGACTACAAGGAGGTAAAGGCGAGAATTATTAATCCAGTTCTAAACGTTAACGGAAACTTTCTAAGTTTTACAAAAGGTTTGATAACGATTTTGTTTTTTGCTAACAAAACTATAGTGTAAATAATTTTTAATATGTTTTTAATAGTCTGAGTGAGACATTTGTTTGACATTACAGGAGTTGAACAGTGAATGCATAGAATTGTGTTATCAGCTTGTCAGTTCAGCTAGTTAAACAAAAATTGGCATATCCTGTTGATTTTCTGATTTGCAACTTGAAAATGGTTAAATTTGGGGGTGGTGTCAATCCCAAATCTGAGTTTGGACTTTGGAGATAAACTGTGGATTAATGTAAACCAACAGAGAGTTGAGGTCTTCTTAGTGACCTCAGTCCTGACCAGTCAAAAGAACTCAATTTGATCTTTGTGCAACCTCAGTTTTAACCTGTGAAATATTTCAGCATTTACAGTATACCCACTCTGCCACTTCTTTTTTTTTTCAAATCAAACTTTTACCTTTTTTATTAGCTGACTTACTAATACTAAAAAACGAATTTCTCTCAGCCTCATACTAAACAGATAAAATCTGAACAGTCTCTTTAATAGTCTTCTTTCATGTGTTGTGTGCATCAGTGTGGCACAGCCCACAGACTGGATTCTGGCATCAAAGTGCTCACATATTTAGGGCAGCAGTCTGACATAATGCTATGAGTAACCAGCCATTTTTAACCAGATTGCAACACTTTTCCACACAAGTATTTGAGCCTTCTCATGCAGAAACGCTCACATGTGACTCACAGACCCATTGTCCTGTCTCAAAAGCTTCTCAAAGCTCCTCCACCACACACACACACACACACACACACACACTTGTCTTTTTCTTAGTTCTACTACAACCCTCCCCCCTCGTTCCTTCTTTTACAACCACGTACACGTTCACACACACCCTTCTGCCCTTCTCTGCGTTGGCCTCATCCGAGCTGAGTGACAGGAGCAGACTTGCGCTGACCTGCAGCCGAACCATCAGAGGGGTCAAAGGTCGGGTCCTTTATCTGGGATGGAATTCTGTGGAGCCCGGAAAGACGGATCTCAGATAGCGTGAAAACAGAAACAGACATAGATACAAAAAAAAAGCCTTTTTGGTTTCAAATGTTTGCTCTTTTCTGAGTTTTGGATGAGGAGTATTTGTTGTCCAGTATAAATTGTAAAGAGAGAAAACAAGTAACTGGGAATATAGGTAGGTTTTTATATCGTTTTGAGCTTTCCAGCTCCTATCCTAAACTAAACTCACCCTAACTACTCCTTCAAATAGACTGATTTCTGATTAGATTGTTAAAATCTGTATAATTAGATTAAGTGTAAGTCTGCAGGAACATCTACACCAGTCATAACACTCCCACACAAAAAAACACTGTRACCTGAACACGTGCGTGCACACTTTGTGGCAAATCCTGTTACAACTGCTGCTTTCAGAGCTTCAAATACATCTTTCTGTGTTCAAACGCACCATAATGCCTTGCTCTTTATGCTTAAAAAGGCATGTTTTGCTCATATAACCTGGTGTGTGTGTGTGTGCGCTGGATTGTGTGTTAACAGTTGCTTCTTGTCTCGAGCCGAGGCGTACGATCTCTGATGGTGAAAAGGCTTCATTGTGCAGAAAAGGGAAAGCTGTTTCTGAGGAATGTTGAGGAAAAAGTAAAAACTAATAAATTTAGACACAAATCGTTTTCCAAATCCAAATCATTTTTTTCAAAGCAGGAGTTCTTTGTTAACACAGATAATTTAATCAGTTTTGATTGAAGATTCGCAGGCTCCAAACAAGCAACCTGTTGCCAAAGCCAAAATCCCCCCCTCCCCTGGCCTGTGGATGAACGATGGAGTAGAGGAGAAAATGTCTTTGTCAACGAGGCTTTTTCAACAGAGGAAATTGCCTCGTGAATTTGAGGGAAAAACACAAATTAGCCCACTTGTGTTCCTCCCAATCTAATTTGGACGCCTCTCGCTGCTCGAGGCCGAGAACTGAAGGAGGCAGTGAGGGCCGTCACTTCATGCTTGCTCATTTTCCACATGGAAATACAATGGAGCCTGCACATTTCTACATCATCAACAAGTGGAAACACCCATTTGTTTAACGTGTCAGGATTTATTTATTTTTTCTTAAGAAGTTATAATGAGAAAATCATGTAGATTTTTACTTTTACCATTTGGGAAATGTAAAAAAGAAATGTTGACATGTTTAACTTTGAATTCAACAATTGTTCTTAAAGGGATTTATGATTAGTTGTAACATTAGACTTTATTTGATAAACATTTATTTTAACAGTAAAATAAAGACTGTAAAAATACTGTAGGCTGTTTAGTTTTGTAAATTTTTAAAAATATATTTTAACACGGACGGAGCCATTTTATTTACACACAAAGCATTCTGGGTAAATGATGACCTGGATAGGTCCTCGGTGTGAGCGAGCTATATCCACCCTGAAGGTTAATCTTGGACAATATCTGACGATCATGAAAACAGAGAGCGTTGACAGAGAGGAGAAGGTAGAAATGACTCAGCCTGGAACTGAAGATATAGATGGAGGACAACAGAGCTGCTTCATGGAAGAAGAACCTCAGCTTAGCCTATTAGCATTAGCTTTAGCTCCAACACTTAGCTCAGCGCTAGAGCAACAAACCAAACTGAGGTCCTCCATCCATATTTTCAGTTGCAGGCTGAGCCATTTTTGCATTCCCCTCTCTGTCATGTGGATGGAGGACCTCAGTGATGAGAGGAAAATGTGTAGCGCTGAGCTAATATATATACATGGTGATAGCGTTGGGACTAATTCTAAAGCTAACAGGCTAAGCTGAGGTTCTTCTTCCATGAAGCAGCTCTGTTGTCCTCCATCTATATTTTCAGTTCCAGGCTGAGTCATTTCTGCCTTCTCCTCTCTGTCAACGCTCTCTGGTTTCATTTAAAAGAGTCGATCATCAGATATTGTCCAAGAT